CCCCCGGACCCTCTGACTGGCCTGGGACCCGGAACCCGCTTCCCCACCTGTGCCATGAGGATAAAAATGCAAATCTCTGAGGACTAACAGCACCTGGGACTGAATGAGCGTCTTTGTTGGTCATGGAGGCAGATGCCCCAGGCGGAGGGGGCTGGGTCTGAGTTGCCCCAAGGGTCTGACACAGGCCCCGATGGTGACACAGCCAGAGAAGCAACGGGCAGAGGGCGCCGGGCCAGGCGTGACTCACTGCCCCAGCGGCCCCTGGGGTTCACCCCGCGCATTTGTCACCCACAAGGCAGGTGGGTCTGGGCAGTTGTCCCCCGACACAGGGTCAGTCACACCCTGAGGGCCAGACTTGGCCAGGGAGCCAGAGGGCCAGAGGGGTCAGCCACCCAGTGCAGCCCCCGGGGGCCACGGGAACTCAGCCCAGCGGACATGTGACCACAGAGCGCTGCCCCAGGAAACCAGCCCCACTTGAACTCACGCCTCCCCTGCAGGCCAGGACAGTGGCCAAGCCGGTCAGGCCTTGGGGCTCAGGCAGCAGGAGAGAGTCCCAGTGCTGGGCAACAGCCTGGTGCCATAGGCCGATCAAGACCTCAATGGGTGAGAGCGCTCAGGGCCGCGGGTTCCTGGTGCCTTTCCAGTGACGATGGAAGGACAGGCCATGGCTCCCCGGTGCACTCACCGCTGCTCCTAACAGGAGGCTGGGCTGGCCCGGGCGGTGGCAGTGACCGCGTCCCTGAGGTGTGCCAGGCACCATCCTCAGCACCCAGGACCAAGTGGCTCACGAAACCCTCTCAAGGTGCCCTTACCATCCTCATCTCAAAGAGGAGGAAAACGAGGCACAGAGAGGCTAGGACACCTGTCCAAGTTCACACAGCGGATGGAGCTGGGACAGACCAAGCCGCCCCAAGCTCGCCCCGCCTGGTGCAGCCTCTCCCAGGGAACAGCTGAGCTGGGCGACGGAGGAGCTGAGGTCTGGGATGTGGGGGAAGGCTCTCCTGCCCAGAGTCCCTACAGCATGTGGCTGTCACAGTTAATCCTAGTGGAGTTCAGGTCTCTCCACCCCCATTGCACAGCCTAAGGGATTGTAAGGCACTTGCTCAAGGTCACTTTTCATATATATATATATATACACACACACACACATATATACACATATACATATATATGTATTATTGATTTCAGAGAGGAAGGGAGAGGAGAGAGAGAGAAACATCAATGATGAGAGAATCCTTGATCGGCTGCCTCCTGCACGACCCACACTAGGATTGAGCTCGCAACCTGGGCCTGTGTCCTGACCGGGAATCGAACCGTGACCTCCTGGTTCAGAGGTCAATACTCAACCACTGAGCCAGGCCAACCAGGCTCAAGGTCACTTTTCAAGGGTTTGAACTTAGTTCTAACTCAACCACCCCACAGCTTCAAAGACAAAGCCTTCAGCTGAGTAAGTCCGCTCTGTGCTGTGACTTATCGCCCCAAATTCCAGCAACAACCCTGCCCGGGGCGGCACTGGCGTCCCTGTGTGCAGGTAAGGACAGGGAGGCCCAGGAGGCTGGGAGGGTGGGCAGCAGTCTGGAGCCCCGCTTACCCCCGGGGGCCTAGAGCGGTAAGGGCAGCGCTTCCAGGGAGGAAGGCCAAGTTCTGCCGAGGACAGGAGGGGAGGGACCGAGAGAAGGCTGGGGCGGCTGGCCTCCCACTGCTGCTCACTCGGAGGTCGGCTAAGTGGCCCTGAGCCTGGGGAGCCGCATGGAGCCATTAGCTGCAGAACTGCAGCCTTTCAGGGACTGGAGCTGGGCTGGCTTCCGGGCAGCGAGGCCCCCACCCCAAGGCCGGCTCCCTCTAATGCAGAGGCCGCCCCGCTCTGCCGGCTCCTCCAGGGCTCGGCTTTGATCTCTGCCTGGAGCTGCCAAGCTCACCACAAACCGCCTGAGCCGTATCAGCCCAGGAACATGTGCCTACCCACAGGCCTCTCCACCAAAGCTCAAGTCAGGCTCGGGGGCCGAGGGGGGCTTCCCGAAGCCCAGGTGGCCCCAGCTCCCCTAGGTGGGAGGCCAGGGAAAGTCCCTGAGCTGTTGTAAGATATCCCGGGCCTCTGTGCGCCCATCTGGCCATGGGGAGACCGTGGTAAGGCTAGCATCTCTGCGGGCCACAGCAAGCCCGTCGTCCTCACAACAGCTCCCAGGCAGATACTTTCCAGGTGAGGAAACGGAGGCAGGCGCCCAAGTTCACACACCCAGAGAGGAACAAAGCCAGGCTCTCCCCAAGCAAACGGCCTTGCTCTCTCTGTGGGTCCTGGAGGATGTGGGCAGCAGCAGGGATGGGGTTCGAGACAAGGGCACCCAGCACAGACCTGGCCTGGCCCAGGAGCCCCCTCCCCACTGAGGGGCCAGGAGAGCTCAGTGGACAAGAGCCCAGACTCTAGAGCCACCAACACGAGAGGTCACCCACAGGTGAGCCTCCTGCGCCTCAGTGTCCTCGTCTCTAGGTGGCTCCGCACCAACACCTGCCTCGTAGGAAGAAAGGTGGGCGCGGAGCACTGAGCCCCGGGGACCAGGCTCTGAGGGCCGGAGGGATGCCAGGGCAGGCTGGGACCGAGCAGGGGTCAGGAACTATGTGCCACGCTCCTCCCCGACCCGGGGTCCCTCTGCCCAGCTGTCCAGGCCTGACCCCAGAATCCAAAGGGCTCCCCTGAACCTCAGGGGCTCCCGATGGGGCATGAGACGGAGGGGGAGGGCAGCACTGCAGAGGCAGAGCCAGCCAGAACCCGCTGAACCCGCCCCACCCGCCCCACCCACCCTGTGTAAGAGGCCCCTTTGTGCCAACCCTGCTCCCTCCCCTCCGCCCCTGCCATCTGCCTGTCCCCAGGGGTCCCGATCCCCCAGCTGCCAGGTTTGCTCACGTGACGCCCCCATCTGCTGTGAGTCAGAAGGAGGGGTCCGCAGAGCCCCTCGTTGGCGCTGGGGGTGCAGAGCCTGCTAAGCTCTGGGGGGGGGGTGGTATTGGATTTGGAACTCTACTGTCACCTTCCCCTCACGCCCCCACCCGCTCTGCCCCTGACTCTTCGCCCGTGCCATGTGGGAGCCCACCCGCACCCCTGAAACGGGCACAGCTCCCACCACCCACACACTGTCCCCCCAGCACGCACCATGAGCCCCACACCACACACCCGGCCCTCCCCGTCCTGCTAGCCGGCCCTGTGTGCAGAGCTGCGCAAGTCTCCCCACCATCCCCTCCCCGCAGGGCAGAGCAGAGCTGCCCACCTGGCGCTCAGCCACCAGGACATGCCCCGTGCCAGGTCTCCAGTGCCACCGCCTGCCCCATTCCCCCAGGCCCTCACTATTTCCACACCTTTCCCCACGCAGTTTTCCTCTGCCAGGAATCGCCTCCCCCCACACACACACACACTTAAACCCTCTCTCCCTCCTTCCCAGTCCCCAAGCCCAGCCCCGCGTCCTCCTCCTCTGAGCCCCAGGCTCCGAGGCAGCAGCTCCCTCCGCCTCCTCCAGCTTATCTCACTCCTCAGCCTCAGAGCCCAACTGTCCTGTTTGTGTCCCTGACAAGGTGTGGGTGTCCCAGCTAGGAGACTGGCCCTGCCCCATGGCCTCTCCCCCACAGACCCTGCCTGGAGGGATGCCAAGGCAGCTGGGACCGAGCAGGGGTCAGAAACATGACCTGACACCTCGGAGCCACGGGTGCAGGCAGCTATCATCACCTCATACGCCCATTTAGCAGCTGCAGCAACTGAGCCCCAGAGAGAGAGGCGAGGCAAGGAGGCGCGCGCTGCTATGACCACAGTGGGTCTCTTTCTCACAGTCCCCGCAGCTAACGCAGTCAGGTCTGGCCCCAGGAGCCAGTCTCACCTCTGCCGGCCTCAGTCCTGCGACCCAACTCAGCAGCCAGCAGCGGCTCTCACAGACAGACGGCTCTCACAGGCTCTCACAGACGGACGGATGACACTTCCCACTCAGGCTCCACCTCAAGGAACCAAGCCTCTGCCCTCAGGGTCCCCACAGGGCCCTGGGGTTGGCCCATGACTGTAAGACACCTATTCATCCCATTCACTGCCATGTCCCCCACCCCTAGCAGAGTATCCGGCACACAGTAGGTGCTCAATAAATGTTTGTATGTGTAACTCCCTTGGCCTCTGGAGCACAGAGACTACTGCTCCCCACCCGGCCGCCCCAGTCCAGGGCAGCTCCAGGCAGGGAGGGGAAGTGGGAGCAGGGGGCGGGGGGGCGGGGGGGCAAGAGGGGCCCTGCCTGGGCTCATGCCCCCCCCCCGCCAGCTCCCTCCTGTGGGGCCCTGGGAGACCCCAGCTCAGCACCACAGGAAGGAGGCTGGTGGGGAGGCGGGAGGACAGGAACCAGCGGCTTCCCCAGACGGAACAGGGTCGCCCCGGTGGGTGGGAGGGTGGGTGGGAAGGCCCTATCTGTGCCCCGCAGGCGGGAGCCGGGGGTCTGGTGGTTTAGCTGGCAGTGCGCTTCCCAGCCCTCAGCCTCTGCTTCCTCATCTATCTGCCCGAGTTCCCACGCCAAGACCACCTCCTCCCAAGGACGCCCGTGAGGACAAGCTCGCTTGGAGAGCCGGACCCAGCCCAGGCAGCTGCAGGTGACACTGCCCTCGAGGGCCGGGTGCCCAGCCCCCCGCAGCCTCTCCCCGAGCCTGGACCCTGGCTCTCTCTCCCGCTCAGAGCCCGGCTCCCCCTCTGTGCCAAGGAGGCAGGAGTAACTCATCTCACCGCCCAGGGAGCGGACCCAGCCTCCCGTGCCCAGTGAATATGCCACTCTGAGCCTCAGTTTCCCCAGCTAACACAGGACTAGTGGTTCTGAGAGGTTTCATCCCCTCAGGCCCTGTCCCCTTCCCAGGCATCTCCCTGTCCATCTACCCCCAACTCTAGAGACCCCCCTACAGCAATGCTCCTCTGGGCTCCCACCCAGATACCAAGATCTCCCAAGTCCCCATTCCACCCCATCCCTCCTCCCTCCTTGATCTGGTACCTGGTGCCAGGCGGGGGTCCGGGTAGGGTCAGGCAGCTGATCGGCCTTTCAAGATTCACCTCTGAGGATTAACCTGCCCGGGTCCTGCTGCGGAGGGAGCTAATGCGTGTGTGGTGGCTCCCGGCCCCTCCTCGCAGGGCAGGGCGGGCAGGCAGCCAGTGTGGAGGAGGAGGAGCCTGGGGAAGTGCTGGGTGTTTGGTGGGGGGGATGCCCCCTCCAGATGACTCCTCCCTCCTCCCTCCTCCCTCCTCCCTAGCTGGGCTAGGGATGACGGACCATTAGTGAGTCATGGATTTCTCAGAGGGAGGCTGAGAAGGGGGCAGGGCTGGGAGCTGAGGCAGGGACCCTGGGGGATGCCTGTGACTCAGCACTGGGCAAGGGGGCACCGCAGCCTCACCCCTCGTTCGGGCAGATAGGTGCCCGGTTTCAGGGACAGACACCAGCCAGGGATAGCGCTGCCTCCTCACCCTCCATCTGCCGCTTCCCAGGGCTGTTCTCCCCAAAGTGCCCAGAGGCCAGGGTTGCCAGGGCAACGGGCACTTTGATGCTGCCCGCCCCCCCACCCCCCACACCGCCAGGCCCAGGCGACAACTGCCCCTTCCTGAAGGAGTGTCCAGCCTCCTTGGCAGCCGACAGGAGCCGGCAATGACCAATGACCGGCAGAGCGGAAGGCACGGGGTTGGGGGGGGATCAAGCGCCTGGCATGCAGCCAGCCAGTCCACGCACGACTGGCCACCTGACCTTGAGTCTCCCTGAGCCTCAGTCCTCCCAGCACAGGGACCCAGCGCAGTGCTCGCCAGGCACACACAGTGTCAACATCCCAGACGCAGGTTCTGGGCTCTGAGATGCCAGGGGCTTCTGGAAATGGCACCCCTTAGTCCGTCTGCGAGGCCAGAGAGGAAACTGAGGCCGAGTAGAACACCGGTCCTGGTGGCTCCAAAGCTCAGCGAGGGATCTGGGGATGGGCCAGTGCCCCGCCCCCTTGCTGGTCACTGTCCGCAGCTCGCTGGCTGCTGAGGTCCTAGGAGGCCTCGGATGGGAGGTGGCCACCCCAAGGGGCGGGGCTCCCCCACATTCCCTCATCCCACCGCGTGGGTCAGTGATTGCCAAGTCCCAGGTGCCGTGGAGACTTTCACATTATGGGGGTACGTAGCCACAACAGTGACACTAATGATGATGGTTACACTTACTGACCGTTTACTACCTTCCAGACTTTTCCCTTCCGTGCTGCCATGGCGAGCACAGCGGTGAGGGGGCGAGTGTCGCTCAGACCCAGTGCCTGGTACCCGACAACCCCTCAAGGCATAGCTGCTGTGAACGTGGTGATGAGGGCAGGGAGAGCGCAGGACCGAAGAAATGGAAGCTCAGAGAAGGGAATGAAGTTGCCTAAAGCCACACAGCTGGAAGTGCCGAAGTTAGGTCGGCCGCCCAGCAGTCTGGCTCCT